AAATACACACACACACACACACACACACACACACACACACACACACACACATAAATAAATGTAAAAATATCTTCAAGGGCCCCTTCTCCCATCGGTCTCCCCAGCTCACCTCTCCATTTAGCTATGATGTTTTTCCATAGAGGTCTTTCCCACACCAGGATTTTCAGACACTACAGTCTTGAAACGAGACAGGTTCCTCATTCTGGATATGCTGGTTTCACTAGACTAACACTGCCTGGGCGTACCAAGCTCCATCTCCTCCTGGAACCATGAAAGTAAAGCTGAGCAACAGGCTGAAGGCTCTTTAAGAGAGCTTGTGGATGGTGGCTGGCCTGGGACGCCCTGTCCTAGAGCCAATGAGGCCTGGACGCTGGAAGGTGCAGGGGGCACTGAAGGCCAGATCTGGCTCTGGGTGGAACCCTGTGGGTAATGGAGACCAACTTTCCTCTGTCCCCTAGGACTGCGCCCCAGGCTACACACGCACTGGGAGCGGACTGTACCTTGGCCACTGTGAACTGTGTGAATGTAACGGCCACTCCGACGTGTGTCACCCAGAGACTGGAGCCTGCTCGGTGAGACGCAAGCAGGGCTAGGTTAGGGGTGGGCAGTGGGATGGGAGGGGTCTCGGTTCATAGAAGCCAGCACCTGGATGAACGGAGCCGGTGAACACAGTGGGAAGCTACAACTGTGGAGTGCCATTCTTTGTAAAGAAAGCTATGGTTCCTTATTGCTTGCCCCGCAGTGGCCGATGTACATGTCCTCACAAGTACATGGCCAGGGCACAGACAGTTGACAGAGTCCCAGACTCAGTGTGAAGCAAGGAACACACAATGTTAACACTACAAATGTGGCTGTCTTTGGATGAGATTGTATGTGTTTGGGTTTTTATGTTTATGGGTGTTTTGCCTATGTCTGTGTACCATGTGCATGTCTGGTACCCATGGGGTCCAAAAAAGGACATCAGATACCTTTGCACTAGAGTTACAGATGGTTGTGAGACAACTTGTGGGTTCTAGGAATTGAACCTGAGTCCTCTAGAAGAGAAGCCAGTGTTCTTAACCACTGAGCCATCTGTCCAGTCCCCCTGCATATGTTTTTGTTTTGTTTTTTTGAGACAGGGTTTCTCTGTGTGGTTTTGGTGCCTGTCCTGATCCTGCTCTGTAGGCCAGGCTGGCCTCAAACTCACAGAGATCTGCCTGGCTCTGCCTCCCAAGTGCTGGGATTAAAGGCGTGCGCCACCGCTGCTGGTCTCCATATGTGTTTTTTTTTACAGTGAAACATGTATCTCCAAGGCTGTGTCCAAAAGTATTCCTTTGTTTTCCTTTAAAGTCACAGCTCTCTCTCTCTCTCTCTCTCTCTCTCTCTCTCTCTCTCTCTCTCTCTCC